ATATATACACGCACACAAAATATCATGCATTGCACAGCCTGTCCTCAAGTTTATCCATTTCAACAATTGCTGAAAACAGTTGAGGAAATGGCTTATGTATTCCTTACTCATCCCCTCAAATACGTGCTTCACATAACCTACATAGTTTAATAGTAGTGCAAACTTGTAATTGCATTCAGCTTCTCTATTGCTGTGCAGCAGAAGTATGGGGATATGCATATCCTTATGAATGTAGCAAACTTCAGTGAACCCGTTAGCAGAATGGCACAGCTCACATAGATATGTGTCTTCAAAATCCACCTCAGTTCAGCTACTGGATATGGTCTTTGAAGTGCTTATAGCCTATTGATGTATGCATTACTAGTATTGGACTCTAGAACAAACTAAGAACCTCAAACTTTGATAAACTTGAAAATAACACAAAACAATCCACTTCCAATTAATTATGCAAATTATTTCATTAGTATGTGCATGTTAATGAGCTTGGGTTTAGATTATCTACAAACATAGTATCTTTAAAACTAATAATACTACCCAACAAAATTATACATCAATTTAAAGCTTAAGAACAGAGGAAAAGCATGAACCTAACACCATAAATATCAGACTAACACAGATGAAAAAAAATATACATGTATTTATTTTCAACATTACAAATCAACTCTCCAGTTACAGACCTCTTACAGTTAGGGTGTAACTTTTTATAACCCATGTTTTGGTTTATTCTGTGCAGTATTTTTCACTTTCTTATGCATTGAGTTTGTATCAAAACAATTGAGAAAATTACCACCAAAGAGGTTGTGAATTGCTATGAATTCCATTGCTAGTGCAGTTGCTATGGGAAGATTTTAATTTTCCATTTTTGAGAGATATATAGGGGTGTTTTGACAAAATGTTGCAGAAACGGACAGTAGACATTTTAAAGTAGCAAATACTTATTTTTCAAAAAAATGGGCTAGAAATATCTTGAGCATTGTCAGTGTGCCTAACCAGCTGGAAAGGCCCCTGAATAATTGCAAGATCTACTGGATTATAATACAGCACTAGCTGCTTTGGTTAATGCTATTTCATATCCTTCTTAGTTACAGCTGACTCAAACCAGTATTTTGACATATCTGAGCTCCTTAACAAGTGACCAACCCTGAAAGTTTATCGATATTCAGGCTGTTTATTCCTACCATCAACCTTCTCTACTGTTCTGTGTTCCTGCATTTTGGAAGTAACCATTAGGGTTCATGTAACAGTTAGTTGCTTAGGTTTCCTCTAGCCACCTATCAACCTCTCAGTTCCAAGAGAGAAGAATATGAACAAAAACTCTTAACTATGCCTAACAAAAGCTCTTGGACTAAGAGTGTTTAGTTTTCAAACCTTTCTGTTTACAGACCACCTAGTTTGGTTATAGCAGTCCATTTTACACTGGTTCCTCCTCATAATCTGCTGTTGGTATATACAACTCAGAACAGTAGGCTTACTAGTAAATGTAAGTGTTCACAGTATTAAGAACTATACGTTATTGATCCAAGATTAAATGTTTACTTAAGATTTTGACTGGATGCCAGAAGACGATGTCCTGGATGAAAATTAAAAAGCTAATACTTGATAAAGGTTTCCATCAAACAAAAGTAACCTAATATTTGATATCATGGTTCCATTGAATAGAAAGAAGTGAGAAACCTCTGACAAAGAAAAAGATGCCATCAAGTATCATGTTTGTAATTTTCCATGATTTGATGGATCACAGTTCTGAGTTAACCCGGACTTTATTATTATTTATTTATTTGGCATCCTTAATCCACTGTTAATAATAATAGCTATCACATTATGTTTGCAGGGATGCTTAGGATATGAAAAAGAAAATACTGATATGAAAATCTTGGCTTGAAGGAGGAATACTTAAAGTGAACTATCATTCAAATTGCTTTTATATTTTTATTTACCAGGTATAGATAAACTTCTATTAACAGACAAGAAAAGCAAAAACTTGCCCCAGGGTATTGTCTTTTTTTCTTCACTGATCACATGGCAATTTTTTCCCTCCAATGAAGTTGGGTAATGTTTTCGTAAAAGTACTGATGTTCGATGTGAATCCACTGAAGTTAAATGGTTTGAAATGTTCAAAATTTATAAATGTTCCTTAAGTTTCCTGATTAGCGAGTGTTATAACAATCACAGTTATAGTTTCTGAAGGTTATAGCACACCAATAATAGATAATGTTTTTAGGCACGTCGCATTGGTTATAGTTATAGGCATGTGGAGAGTTTCTCAAAATTTCAGTTATGCAACAATACAGACACTACACTAGTGTTTATGTACACATGTATAGTGATGATTCTTACACTCGAGAATCTTCTACAACTTTAGAGAATAGATGGGAATTTCTCAATAGAGATTTAACAGTATAAATTATGTACATTTCCAAATATAAATCCGACTTAAACAAATATTGATATTAAAATAAATATATAATAGTAAATCCGTCCCAACCCATAAGCCACACAATACACCATCTTGGTAATGAATTTTCAAAATAGTTACTATGTGTCCTCACAAGAAAGTCAATGGCTGTCATCTTATATGTTTGATTTCCAAGTCACCTGATGAAGATAGCTGAGTGTTTTTGGAAAATATGCATCTTTGGAGCACAATATACTGACAATTTTTCACTATTTTTTTGGCCTATAGGTTACATTTTGTAACAGCATATTATAATGTACCCTAAACATTGCATTTGTACAGGAAAAAAACAAAAAATCTGAGTCATAAATATTTTGATGAACAGCAACATTTGCATGAAAGAAATCAATTATCCCAAAAATGCAGGTTCAGGTGATTTTATGCCAAGTTATAATAAATATACACCTGGAAAAAAGTTAAGCACCCCCAAATATTTTTCAGGATTGCTTATTGAAAATAAGGTTTAATTTTCATGATGTTGAGCAATGTTCATAATTTCAAACATAATTAAAAGGATGTGAGCGTTCAGGTGTGACATTCAAATCAGGCGCGTTTTTTTCCTCAC